ATTATGGATAATTTATTAATTTAATTGTAAAATTTAACCAGTTTATGAGTTTATAAAGTCTTAACACTTTTAATATCAATTGAAGAATAATAATCAAAGGTGATTGGTATAGGACTTTCAATATGAAATATCATCCAATCTAATTGTTTTAACTTTATTATTGTAATATTAAGTTTAATTTTTAAATATATTCTCGATGTATCTTTTTTTCTTATCTTTTGTTAGAAAAATATCTTTTATTATTCATGAACTAATATTACAAAATTATGAATTATTTTGTAAAGACTAATCCCTTTGTAAGTAATTATAAATCAAGTAAATCTATCATATAATATCCTAGATGTTTATAGAAGAATGTGTGTAAAATTAGTTTTCTTTAAGTAGCTATATCATTCTTTATTTTAAACTATTCATTTTCTGTTCTCTGTTTAGATTATTATTTTGAAGTAGTATCATTTATAATTTAATCTCTATAAATATTAATTGATGACATTTTTTATGATATTTAAATAAATAATCTCTATAAATGACTGAAAAGTAATAAATCTTAGAAAAAATACATCCTTATCTAGCTTAAGAAGTGTAGATGAATAGTGAACCTTATAAAAAAAGAATCAAATTAAATATTATTCATAATATATTTTCCTTTATATTTAACTTTAGTATTTTTTTGACATCTTTATTAAAGATTTATGTTGTTAATATTAACTATACACAATTATTTTTTAGACATATATTAATCATCGCTAGTTTATTTATTTATTTTAACATTCTTGTTATTGTTCTATTATTAAAATTCTAATTAGAGCGTATTACATCAAAAAGATTTTATCTTAGTTAATAATAAAACATAAAAAAATAAGATTAAAGTAAAAATTGAATGACTTACTTAAAAAATAGTAAAAACATTAATTTATAGATGATTGCATTTTCAGCATTTTGGTCAACACCTCAAGTTCACATCAAATTTACTTTTGACAAAACTGTGGACACGAATTTGGGTTTCCAAAAGCATATCTTCAATTATGCGTAACGTTTTTCAAATGGGGGTTTTGCATTTTCAATTGAATCCTTAAACCAAAAAGAATATCAATTCTTGCAGAAACTATAAATCCAATTCATATTACAATAATAGAAATCAAATTATTTATAATTTGATTTATTCAAATAAAAATTACTTATATCATATTATTAAAAAATCAAGCAATATAATTTTTGAAATGAATTCTCAATAGCATAGTTTACATCTATTACAATCAATTCCAAATCTACACAAAGTCCT